GTAAAACAGGAAAAAGTTTTTAAGTGGCGCCCTACACAAAATAAAGTCGTTCGTTCCCTATGGCTAAAACCATGGGGAACCTGGGGATTAAAGGCTGGGGACTGCCAGGGACTTTCACACTACACTCTTCCCCTTCCTCAATGTCCATATCAAAGGAAATGGGTAAACACAGGCTTTTAAACTGTAACTCACAAGAACGAAATAATAATACATAAACCAAATTCCCCAACACTCAGGGCTTCTTCTTCTTCTCATCTTAGATTTTTGTCTTTGCTTTACCGCTTCTTTAATAAACTTTCCTTTTGCCCTAACTGTGGCGTGCGTGTTAAATTCTTTCTATTCTCTTGACGATGGACCCTCTTCTCACTCGGGGAAATGTGCCCTGGCCTGCATCAGGCGGAGGGTGACAGGAGAGCCAACACTGGCATCTGCAGGAGGGCAGAGGGGGTGAACGAGATCACAGACCATCTTTGTGAAGACAGGCTCAGGAGTTAAAAAAAAAAAAAGAATACTGTGAAAAGTGGATAAGGAATATTGCCCGTTTCCTGTGACAAACAGGTCCAGAAATGCAGGAGGAGGAGGAAGAGAGACCACAAAGATTAGGCCCCCCAGGTCGGCGGCCATTCCCTCCGATGGGCCCTGGGAACTCCCCCATCTGCTGCTGGCAGGGCCTGCCCTGGAGGAGACGTCAGCTGGGGAACAGGCCAGGGTGCGCTGCAGTAATTCATATCCGCGTTCAACGTCAAGGACGTGCCGTCCCTTCCCGTCTCAGGAAAGGCAGACCTGCGGCTGCCCACACGATTTATTATGAAAACTGAGTCATGTGAAAAAACCACAAGAGCAGAGAACCTCGTGTGTACAGAAAGCCTAAAATAGCCCCATTTGCTGTGGCTGCAAACGGAGTGCTTTGGGAGTGGAAAATAAGGTCTGGGGTGCCCTAAATTGTGCAAACGGTTTGGGTCAAACCGCTGACAGTCAATGACTCCACTCAGAAGTGGAATTCCTCTACTTCAAAACCACGGCCTCTCTCCTCCAGAAGTAAAAAAACATGGCCAGAAATTGTATCGTAAAGAGTGAACATACATACAAGTGTCGGGGTGGGGCCTCCTGTCCATGAACGGTAGAGGGGCCCCTTGTTCAGGAAATTAAGGCCTGTACCCCCACCCGCCCCCGCCCCCCACACACAAACTGTTTACTGATCAGACATCATCTTCCTTATAGTCACATCCTAGTTTCTGGAACTTTAGGACACTGCCTCTTGGGACACATTGCTTTTGAGTCAAACAGCCACATAAACATGCTTATCATTCTGAAAAGAGCAGAGCGACAGACTAGTACAGTAAGAAAAGAAGAAAGAAAAAGAAAAAGAAAGAAACCACCCCATAACCAGCTGGTTTGAAAGCTCTCTAATTCCACAGCATTCCTTCCCCAAGCCCAGGCCAGGAAATGCCACTTGTCTTCGTCCCTCCGTCCCTCCGTTTCTTCTTCTCCCCTCCCCCGCAGTTTAAAATCGGTCTTCTCCCAGGGGCAGGAGGCCCATCTAGCCCCCCACCTACCCACCCTTCCAGAAGGGATTTGCTCGGCCTGCCGCCCCTCCCTAACTTCCG